AAGGAACAAGGTGAGGGATTTTATTTACAACTCTTTTTGATCCCCTCTCATAGGGTGGCAGCAGAAGGCAAGAAAGAGAAAAGAATAAAAGTCTGGAAGCCCTTTTTTCTTATAAAGCCCCCATAAATGGAATTTCCTTTAAATATAAGCACAGATCCTCTAAATTATCATGAACCCTAAAAATAAAAAAGACAGTAATTCATATGTCGATTATTTCCCCAAGTGTGGAAGTCCAAGAAGACACTATAGTATTTCAAATAACAATTAGTAAAGATGGCACTGAATTCCTCCATAATTAAGTAGATCAAAAGATAACATTCTGAATTAGAAAGAGGAATATCTCCCTGTAAATATTCAATAAATATTTGCACAATTCAGTTGCACAAAAGAGGAAAGCAAGATATAGCAATAATAAGCCTATGGGCAAAATCTGAGTATTTATTTACTTCACAGTACAAGAGTCAACAGCCTCCTTTATGCAAATGTCATCAACACAAATGGATGGACCTTAGGACATCAAGAAGAGAGATGAAAGAATGATGAAAATTTGAAGATGAAGCATGAATAAAATGTGCATAGATAGAAAGATAGATACTTTAGAGTAAGGTGTACTTAAAAATGTTGGAAAGAACCACCTATGTTTTTACTTCATTCTCATTAGCCTCTCAATGACAGTTTTCAGTTCAGGCTTATACCCTTAAATTACTTTATCAAAGTCTGACGTGGGCACAATGCAGTAATTACAGAATTTCTCCAGTGTGTTCATCCAACTGTCATCCTTCACAAATATCTATGGCTTCAGGGGTGGTTTTCTGCCCTCTCAATTTTTTAAAAACAAATTGTATTTAAATGCATTTGAAAAAATTGTTATCTGATCTATGTAGGCTGAGAAAGTAAGCCCATCATGGGGCTTTTTTTAAACCAATAGTCTTATAAAAACTGTACTGAACTAAAAGTACCCCTACAATATCTAATCAGAGACCATGGAGCATACCAGTTCTATCCAAGTACCACTCACTTATTGTAGCTTTATCCAAGTAGGGCTCACCTACTCTAATTTATGTCCTGAATGTGAACTAGAATTGCCGGCATTCAAGTGGGTTAACAGGTAAACAGTGCCACAGAAAATATGGAGGGGTACAGAGGGTTACAGAAAATCCCCTTAGCCTAAATGACCTTACATGAAGACTTTTTTTTATTTTTTGCTTTGTATCTATTTCAAGTTAAAATCACACATTTATAATTATTTTGCAACATGATATATTATGATATATATAGAAGATGTTGTCAATACTAGTATCTATGATTTTGAAGAACATTTTAGAAAATACTTTGGTATCATAATGGATTATGGCTATGGATTGTGCTTCTTCATAAGTAAGTGATTTTTCTATTTTACTTGAGGACACCCTTCAACCATTTAAATACCCATAAAGAATGTGTTCCACATGCTTCTGTGTGTACTTTATCTCTTCTCCTATACTCTAAGGTCCTTCAGAGTAGCATATTGACTAAATTCAGGTTTTTGTTCCCAAAATGCCTGGCACAAAATTCTCCCTGTAAATATTCAATAAATGTTTGCACAAGTATATTCAGAAAAAACTCTCATTATAAAACATTCTACATAAAGAACTCAATTCTGTGTTCCAAACATGTTGTTCATAATAACAATAATGTCTTGGTCTGGTTATTGAGACTTTCATAAATGAGCCTGTACAGTGATGACGTATCTCTGTTCTCTGGCTGTATGCTTGAATTTGAAAAATTCAATTAGCCACCACCTCAAGGAGGCAGAACCTCTTACTTAGCAGATATTTATCCTGCATACCAATTCTTAAAAAGAAGTCAAGCACAGAAACAGAAGATACAGGTGTTTATTAAAAATAAATTTGTGTCAATTATATATTTAATCTAAAACTATCCATTTGATGGTTTTATAATGCTTTTATATGATTATTCATATTTTTAAATAGTGACCTTAAAGGATCACAAAACAATTATTTAAAAAAACCTTATATTTAATAAGGAAGAGAAGATTAACTCAGAAAATTTTTTAAATTAAGGATGAAGACAAAAAGGGCCTTGTGATTAGACTTTGAGTGAGCAAAACATGTTCAATTAACCATTAACATGCAAATAAATTGCCTGAAATACTCTAGCTGACCATAGTTTTATTTTACTGTAATGTAAACATCAATACAACATTAACCACAAACCTTAAATAACCAGAGCCCCTCAACCCCACCCTCCACCTCTACCAGCCAGTCTGGTCCCTAAAGGATAAGTGAGGGTGCTGGCTCTGAAGGCTGAAGAAACTTAACAGCCTCCAGGAGAATCTCCTGTTGAGTACAGAATGCAGTGACATTCCCTTTCTCTGGAAACAGATGAAAAACTCAGAAATATTTTAACTTTAAACAGGTTATCTTGCCAAAGCTTCCAACAAGCCCTATTTTCCCCTCTGGTAGCTTCCACTGACCCTGGCTTAACCACTCCCCCACTGCTGTCTTCTCTTCTAATTCACTTTGGTGGCCACTTTTCTGCCTGTTCCTCATCTTACCATGTTTACCTCTCTACCGGCTCTCTTGAGAATTCTCCCCACCTCACTTCATTTCTGCTTCTGCCTGATCAAGCTTTAGTTAGTATACCATTCCAGTTTATCACATCACTTTAACTGCACAGATACTTTAGCAAATGATTCCACCCAGCAGCCTCTAACATCCTAGGAAAATTTAATGTGAAGCTCAAGAGATCTACGTAGGTAGCAATGTATGGTATAAAAAAAAATGGTTACCTTGTCTCACTGCTTAAAAAAGAGACCCCCCAAAAATAATAATTTTGAACTTAGAACTATTTCAGAAGAAGCTGATGATTATTTTGATAGCCTATGCTTAAGCTGTTGGAAGTCTTTCAAAAATAATTTTGAAATAATTATATCTGAATAAAGGTTGGTAATGTGTCTTATTTATTGATTACCTATGTGTATAAATCCTTGGGTAGGGACTGTGAGGATGTGAGGATACAAAGATGAATGAATCGATAAAATATGGACATAAATAATCACAAAGGCAGAAAATATAATAAAGAGGAAGATATATATACAACAAGTGCTATAAGACAAGTGAGATTATATTGAACTGTAAAAGTTGATCAAATGATATCTGGGGTGGGCCTTGAAAAATTTAAGCAGGTAAGTTTTTGGTGGGGGAGCAAAGAAAGGCAATAAGAAGAAAGGCCATTGAGGTAGGAAATCATGAGCCACACCAAGAGAGTGGGAATTAATCTTATTTGACCAGAAAACAGAGTACATGAAAAGGGGCTTTGCCCTGCCTCCATGCTGAACTTGGGCTTTGAAGAAACTCATAAAGGGGAGAATCGAAGTCACAGGCTGGAATACAATTCAAGAGGAAAGAGGGGTGCAGAGATATAAGAGAAGAGGACCAAGAACAGGTAATCAGGAATACCTACATTTGAAGGGTATTAATGTTCTTAAAACTGCTCAGGAAGAACTGAAACCATTACTGAGCACCATATTCTTTTTGCCTTTTTCTTTTTTATTAAGGTATCATTGATATACAATCTTATGCTCAGGTTTCACATGGGCAGCATTGTGGTTACTACATTCCCCCTATTATCAAGTCCCCACCACATACCCCATTACAGTCACTGCCCATCAGCATAGTAAAAGAACACCATATTCTTTTATGAAAGATGGATGGGAGAAAATACATTCTATATTAGTCTAAAACCAAAGGGACAAATTATTCAATGTGTCAAGTTCTAAGTGTCTCAATATTTGGGAACACTACCTAGCTATCACTAAAAGACATTTCTTATTCTGTTCAGAAGGTAAGATATTTCCTGCTATTAACTCCTATGTAAAATTATATTGAATCTATAATTCATTTCTAAGAAAAAAATGAGGTAAGGAGTCTGCTAAGTCACCTAATTCACATAACAAAAGGTTCTTCATGAAGACTTGTACATGATGTGCACAGATGTAAAAGATCCACTGGGAAGTTCAATTAAGCAGAATGGAAGTACAACCAACAAAACTTTATGAGTGGCTTTTTCCATTAGATTTAAAAGGTGAAAGGACTTCTAATCACTATGTTGCATCTAGCTTGCTGACTTCTAAGGGGTCTTAAGTCACCTTTGAGTCCCAGGAGTTTGGGATAGTACCTGGCACTTAGGCTTCCTATAAATGTTTTATGACTGAGAAAAAATGGGCCCAACAATCAGTATTTCAGATTTACATGGCATAGCTATGTCTTTGAGTCAGAAGATGGTTATAATATTCAATGTGCTTGTGTATGATGTTTCAAATTATGTCCCTCAGATCCATGAACCATCAGAAAAAGACAAAGCTCTATTTGTTATACTATACTTTTTGAGGTTAGGGCCAGATAATGTACAATAGATATTTTTCAATAATTTTACTATGTTAGATTAATATGTATTAGAACTAAAATGTTTTTTTCACTGAGCCCTAAAACTAATGATCTAGAATATATCCCATTCTTTGAACCTCTCACTTAGTTGACAAATTTAGCTATATACAGTTGACCCTTGAACAACACAGGTTTGAACTGTATTGGTCTGTTTATATATGGATTTTTTTCAGTAGATACACTGGAACATTTTTGGAAAGTTGTGAAAATCTGAAAATATATTTCTTTTCTCCAGCTTACTTTATTGTAAGAATACAGTATATAATGCATGTAGTAGTATACAAATATGTATTAGTTGACTATTTGTGTTACCTGTAAGGCTTCCAGCCAACAGCAGGCTGTTAGTAGCTAAGTTTTTCGGGAGTCAAAAGTTATGCATAGATTTTCAACTATGTTGGGGGGCCAGCACCCCTAACCCCTAAATTGTTCAAGGGTAAATTATACTGTTGACTGGAAGTTACTTCTGGCAATTTTTATACAGAAAGAATGCCATTGCTTAATAGAGTATAATACTGTGACTGTTTGACCAGGTAGAAAGATGATTCTTGGTACCTTTATGGTTTCAGTGGGCACTCCCGGTTCTGGAACTTTATCCAAGTAAGTGGTCAAGTCTTGATCAACATGTTCAAACACTAATGTTAGTTTGATTTCTCTGTCTGTTCGTGACACTGTGCACACATCAAACAACCTAAAAGAAAAAAGAGGTATTAAGTAGGTGGCATAAAGAAAGAAAGAACCTGTATGTCTTTATACACATCCCTCAATTTGATCACATAATAGGAAAAAAAAAAAGGCCAATGTTGTTCATTCCTTGTGATGATATATAAGGACACGTACCTAATGGTATCTGATATTTTAATATCAATTTGAAAGTTTAGGAGTGGAGCATTTTGTTAAGTGGTGGCAAAACCCACAATAAAAGAGAAAGCAACACTACTAGAGCATGAGAATATCTGTCTGGAGAGTTTCCTTAGGGTAGAACTTGCCAATGAAGATAGTTAAAAACACTGAAGCCTAGGAAAAAATATGGTTCTTCTTAGCTCACAGTTCAAGAATTATTAAAAAGAGATTAAGCATTCTTTGAAGATGCTGGACTCTGTAATGAAGATTTTCCTGGAATATAAGGTGTTAGAATCTTGCCTATGAAATAAGTTTGACGGAATATGGAGAAATTTAGTTTATTTCTAAGAAAGCCTTTTCATCCTGGTGAATCAAATCACTTCCTTAGAAAGGGCATACATAATGAATAGTTTTAAAATTCCAAATATGCTAATCAAAACAAATTTTAACTTTTTTGGTGGGGGAAGGGATGGCTTGAAATTTCATTAGTAAATGACATAACCCTTAAGTGATAAAGACAGATTAACAAACTTTATGATTAAGTTTGGATGGGCAAATCCATTTTTTTCCATAAAATCCTGTAACTGATTCAAAATATAAATTCTGAAGACAGAGCCTTCAGTAGTCAAAAGAATTTTCAAGCCCAAAGACAAATTTTCCTTTAGTTTCACCCTCTACATAGCACACTATCTGGCACAGAAGACGCTTACCAAACATCTGAAGAATTAAACAGACCACTCATAAATAAGCTGTAAGCAAATTTCTTGACAAGATTGTAATATAACTACTAAGAAAAGACTAATAAAAATGTTATTCATATTATTTTCTTTCATTTTTAAAAACTGAATACTCTCTTCAAACAACTAACTATAAATGTGCATATAACCAAATTACTAAGATTCAGGGTTGATTCTCAACTGTCTGCTGTGTGTATGACCTCTGTTAAGTTTTTAATGCCTAGCTGGTACACCATGCCACCCTACTGCATTTCTGGGCTAGAAGAGCCCCACAATATTTGGTACTTCTCTGTGAATCTAAACTAAGTTTAAAAGAAATTAAAAAACACTATAATTAAGTTGAAACTGGTGGGGTAAACCACACATACTTCACAGCCAGATCCAAAATATTTTTTAATTATGGGCAGTTTGGGGTCTACAACTATTCAAATCAATTAGATCGACTGACTTTCTTCTTCACATTTATCTACTTCCCAATATTCTGATTTCTAAGTTTCAATCACCTACTTCTAAATTTAATCTTTCCAAAATTATGTGACTTTTTCTGGAAAATTATTCTGATAAAGTGAAAACTCCCAATTAATAAGTTTATTAAAGATAACACTATAAATCATATGAGTGCAAACTATGAAAACTATGATTGCTATTATGCATGGATTTGACACCTGGGAAGTTTATCAAAACAACTTTCAATTTGGTAATTCAAGGTTAACTACTGTCTATTCATAGGTTCCTTTGAACCATCTTCTTTCCATTAAACCCACATACTCTGACAGCCTCACTCTTTTCTTCCTTTTGAAGAAGAAAAAGGAGCTGCACAGTCACCAAGCTTCTTTATATCTGTTGCTTCTATTTTTGTAATGAAATAAAACAGAGTGAACCAAAAATGGCATGTACAAAAACCGAATACAAACATGGGAACTGCACAATCACAGTTGTGCTTCTTAAATGTTACTTAAAAATATTTTCCATTATAATGAATATATTTTCTTAATGAAAAAAAATTCTTGTTTATCATTGTCTTAGGTCAACAGTGATTTTAGTAACTCCAGTTCTAACTGCACTTATAGTCTGTAACATCTAAGACAATTTGGTAATTTCGAACAGAAAAACAAATTTGACAGGGACATAACTGGAGAAAGAAATAATACAGAAAAAAATAAAACACTGCTGAGCTGAAAGGTCACCAGCTCCCAAACCGTTGTTAGTTACCTAACAGTCCTGGCAGCGTGCTATGTTGCTTCATCTCACTGAAACCACGTTTTCACTCTTTGTATGACACGATTCAAGAATAACATCTAATCCATCCAAGGTATTTTCCTTAAGAATATTAGAATCACTGATGTCACCTACAGCAACTGCATTCCATAGGTGAGGTGGGCAACAGTGAGCTCATGGAAGCCACTGCTCACTGCCCCAAATGATAAGCCATGGAGAAAAGGAGTCATGTGTGACAGTGCACAGAGTGGAATGTTCTTGTAAGAATCTGAATGTATATAATTAAATATTCTTCTAGGCCACAAAAAGAATGACATTAAGTAGAATTGGCTCCTGCTGGTTCAAGGAGATAATTGTGTTGATTTTTTTTAAGGTGCTATTATTGATATCATTTGGGATAAGGAGTGTATTACATTCTCCTTAGAAATTCACAAGTGACATCAGGGAGGTGAAAGTCCTAGAAAGACTGGTAGAATCCCCCCTATTAACATGCTACAGCCCCAGGATGCCACAGAAGATGTTTTGGGAAATACTGTTCTACTAAAATATGAAATTCTGTCTAAATTGTTTAGTAAACATTATTACAGTAAAAATTCAGTTATATTAGTCATAATAGGTAGGAAATACATTCTGAATCAACAGCTATATATTCAGTCATCCCTTCTTTGACAGTGTACATTACACCACTTCACTTTTGCAAAAGACCTACATTAGCACCTGTTTTCGTTAACTGGAAGAAATCCAAAGAGGATTTTCGCTTTTATGGAAAAGAGGCAAAAATCAAAAACAGCATTCAGCATTTGTCTTGCAATGCTCACCCGAGCTGTGAGGGCAGCCCTGCTGGACTCCTGCCCTGGGACCTACACTCAGCATCTCAGCATCGAGCCACCACAGCTTTGAACTGCATCTGTGAGCGTCTGTGCTTTTATCTCAATTTATTTTGTGCATCCGTTAGATGTGTCCTAAGGTATCAGATAAGCCTAAGAGTGGCTACTTTTTGGGTCTGGGAACACTCAACAATGTTCCATATAAATTAATGGTAATTGCTTCTTTGCTTTATGCCATTTTGGCTTATGAAAGGTTTCATAGGAATGCTATACTCTCAGATAGTGGGGGAACCTGTATTAAATTTAGGAATTTTAGAACATAACATTTATGATGTTTTTTCATCTATAATGACTCCCTTTGGAATTACTCCAGATGAAATAAATAGCAGTCACTGCAGTGGGCAATAAAGAGGATAGGTGCTTTAATGTAACAAATTAAAGTCTCACATAAAGAAACTAAGCTAAACAAGAACTGAAATCCCTGGTATTTGGCAGGAGGTTAACAATATGTAATATATTTATATAAATCAATGAGGAATGTGGCCAGGCTGCCTATAACTTCCACACTTGCAAAACAAAAGAGCCAGACAGGTCTGAGCATTTGAATATAAACACTGGAAAATAACTTCAACGGTATGATTCCTTGAGTTGACCAACATCTTAAGACTTTCTAAAACTTTTTTTTTTGCTAATAACTAAACAGACAAAAATACCACTTCACTGATTGCATGACTGCAGTTCAATAAGAGAAGTATAATCACACTGTGTTGAATATGAACAAAATATCTCAGATGACTTTTAGGGGAAATGAAAACTACCATATTTATCTATTAGAGCTGAGTTTAATGTGATCCTAGCAAATGCTAAAAAAGTAGAAGTGAAAAGTGGTTCTCAGCATTTAATAAGTCTATGAATCTAGTGTGCAAAATGCAATCCAATGAGGCACAGATAGGTCATTATCATTTCACAATTAAGTCAGCCAAGCCCTTAACTAGCCCATAAAGTAAGTTCTCTCACTGTCTCTGTTGTCCTGACCCTCCCAGCTGCAGGGCAGAGAGCAAGCTCTGTGGTCCAGCACAGCACTCAGCTTTCCAGCTGTCCTAGTGATGTAATTATCTCATAACAAAATATCTCCGTGAATTAACTCTGCATCCTACCCATTGTAATTCTTAATGACTGCTTCCTGTTCGTGTTCTCCATTTAACTTGCTATTCTGGATCTATTGCATAGGCAAGTTGCCTTCGCCTAATGGATGGGATTTCATCCAAAAGGTTTGGCATTTCCAAACATTACAATTTACAAAGGTCTCCAAACAACATGCTTTGTAAACACAAGACTTGCTTTTGTATTGTGGTTATTATAAAAGGGAAATATGCATTATTTTCTGTGATTAAACTTTGATCTGTCACAGGAAATTCTATGAGAATTTTTTTCCTGTCACTTTTTTTCTTGAATGTTTGGACATCAAATAGTTCAAGAGCAGAGAGATGTCTGGTACAGCTGCTTAAGAGTGCTAAACAAAATTTCATTTGAATGACAGCCCAGTTGTTGAAATTAAGGAGATTTTTTAAAAATCTCTAATTTCTTCCTCTATAGTCCACGAAGCATATTCTGTGGCTATAGCCTGCATGCGCCAAATTTCTGTTCAAACATGCCACTAGCCTTACACTACTGGATACTGGCCAGGGAGTCCTCCTTTTGATCATTTAATATGGACTTTGTGTGCCCTTGTTCTCAACCAACATTGAACAGTTTAACTCCAGAAGTATTCCTACCAACAATAATGAGCATGCTGCTAGAAGGGAACCATTTGGGCAGCATCCATAAGCAGTATCAGCACCCATCGTGTGCAGGTGCTGTACACAGTTTTACAGATGCCAACAGATCTAAAGTAGGTGTTGTCTTTAAGAACTTTCAGAACTTTAGTTGGGTGAAAAAACACTGACGAGTAAAACTAAAAGTAATGATATACGGCTATGTATTAACTGCAAACAACTTCTACAAACACTACATGAAACTATAGATTCACACCAGAGTAAATTTGTTCTACATGCTATTATGGTAGA